GTCCAACTATCAGGGATCAGGAAAAGCCCAGACTCACGCCTATTCCAAGGTCCAGACACAAATTCTGTTTTTTCACTACCAACAGACAGGAAATAAAGGATCCTGTCCTTTATTTCCTTACGTGAATCACTGAACTTCTGCCATTAAATTGCTCAGGGGAAATGCAAGGCTTGGGCTGGAGCACACCCTGGGCAGAGGACTGCTCTGCCAAAGCCCCATCCCAATTTCTTTCTGTTCCTTTCTCCGGCCCCAGTCTCTTTATCCCAATTGACTACTTCCACCCGCCCTGTTTCTTGTCTTCTCTACATTCAAGGCGGAAGGCTTTCCTCCTCTGCATTGCCAGAAGGCTCATTAAAGTCAGCTGCCAATTATGCTCACTCCCACAGTGACCGACAAGAAGCGGGAAGAGCAATCGCTACATAAAAGTCATGCTTTGCTGTGAACTGCACACAGGGTTAGGGGTACAGACCCTATAGTCTACACACTAGGAACAGTGAGAGGTATGCCCAGTGAGGGTGAGCAAACTCAAGCTATTGGCTGCTGAACACAAAAAAGTGTCTAATATACAGGTGAAAACTTCACTCAAAATTTTGACATACATAGGTGGCTTTTAATGAGAACAGTAATGTACTCAAAACAGGGATCACATCCTGTTTCAAAGCATGAGGAGGCAGGTATTTGCTAGGGAAAAAACTGGTAATATAACTGATCATGTACAAGACCAGTCTTCTATTTAAAAAAAACCCAACACTTTATTCTTTTCAAAAGCAGTTAAAGTTAAAAGTAAATAAAATCAGAGGCAAGCCTGAAGCATGGAAAACTGCAGATCAAAGAACTGTGTACCAGCAAATTGGATCGTATGGTGGCTGGTGTCAAGTGACCTAGCTGCACTGTTTATAAAAAACAGTTAGGGTTGAAACTAAGGAAATCTGAATATTCCTTTGGATTCCAAAACTATCCATCTTTCTGAGGCAACCTCTAAATGACTCCCTGACACAACCTCCATTCTTTGAAGATTTCTCTTCTCTTCTCTGAAGAGTATTCTTTCATCTACTACGCTTCAGACTCTCCACTCCAAAAGCTGATGAACATGTACCCCCAGTTCCTTCTGAAAACGTTCTCTGTTCCGGGAGGTCTTCAGGGGCCAGCACGTACGCTTGCAGGACTTCTTCCTGGAGGACTTTGGGCTGCCACGTCCTTTCAATAGATATGCCCTCTGTGGTTTCCTCCTTAATTATGACCCCAGGGTGTGTAACACATCTCTGGAGCACTGATCTGTAAAACTCACATAAAGTGCTGGAAAGTTGAAATGAAGCATGGCACAGTAGAGAGACTGCCAGAGCCGGTGAGCCAGAGGGATTTTCAGGCTGGGAAAGGACTAGAAAGGAAAGAAAAATTTCAGGACTAGGTAGGCAAAATAGCGAGAAGAGAGGCAATTAGATCAAATAGGAGGAAAGTGAGAACAGAGGCAGAGGTCAGATCCTGGATCACAATCATTTGGAACTAACAATAGAGGAGGGATTCAGGGATTAGTATCAATAAGTAAAGGACAAGACAGAGACACATGGAAACTTGCATTTTGAGCAGTCAGCCAGATGTTGATTTTGATGATAGCAGAGGGGTAAGAATGTGGGAAAAACAAAAGAGATAAAAGGCACAGATTGTGAAATAGTGATGAAACAGACAAATTTAGTGCCTTTGCCTAAGAGGAGAAAAAACTTTCCCCGGAGCATGGTGTGTACAGACAAGCTATCTGGCTTCCAATAGAGTACAGAAGCAAGCTCAGCTACCAGCTACAAACAGTCCACATACAGCAGGTACACTGAATAAAACTACACCACTGCTGACAGTTCCCTCAGCGGTCTCTCCACTCACCTGGTGCCCAGTATACTTACTTCCTAGCTGTGTTGGAAAGAGACATCTTAAACTAGAACATGGCACGGGTTAGGAATGCAGGAGTTCTCGCCCTTTTTGGGGGAGTGAGGAGGTGTGTGGGTGGGGAGTGCAGTCTCCCTAAGGATGTGGCTGTGATGAGGCACTCAGCAAAACTTTGCAGTCTGGAGTTCATGCTGAAACTGAAGGTTCAAATGCTCCACATTATGACCAATGTCCGAATGCTCCCACGCTAGCTATGATTGCCATCTGCCTCACTGGTCTCAGCAAAGAGGCCACAGATTCTATGATTATAGAAAAAATGCCTCTGGGGATTACGTCCCTCCTTTTTCAAAGGCTGTTTTTAGGTATGGCATAACTTTCACAACATTTTTGTTAGGCTACGCAATGCAATGCAGCATTAGGAAAAGATACTTGAGGACAATGATTTATTTATCAAGTCTACCAATTCCTAGTGGCTTTGGTGCCTGTGTATAGAACACTCTGTCATATACGCAAAGTTGGAAGTAGATACATGACAGCACGGCTTTATTTTTTGCTTGTAGTTTGTGCCTTTTGTGCCAGAAAAAAACCCACCATCTATAGCAGGAAATAAGGCAGTGAAAACAACAGTAAAATTCACTGAGAAAAGATCAGAAAATAGATTTTTAATTTATCCTCATCAGAAAAACAAACTGAGACTGCACAAGGTTCAGGTTTTGTGACCCATTGATTGTTATGTACTTCAGCAAGGTGGCCATCCATGATTAAACATACTTTAAGCACTCCAGATATAGGAAGAGAGTTGACTTGTGTAATTATCATTGAACCAATCAATAAGGAGGGCTAATTGCTAGAGGAGATTTAATGTCATATTCAATGACTGTATAGTTATGAATATTAGCAGTGAGATGTAACCGTCTGGGCCTAAAACTGCTCCTGGTGAATCCGATGAGAGTGTTGTGGTTTCAGTAGAAGAATGATTTGCTAAACAGTGACCCATCATCTTTGAAATCCCAGGGAAGGTGAGCCACATCGAGGTCTTGAATCTACAAACAGGAGTAAACAGTATGTTGTGATACACTGAGCAAATGATAATGCAAACTACAGGAAAAAATACTAACAGGGAAAAGCTAATCATTGACATAAATTTTTGAAGACATAGAACAAACAGGGAGGTAGAAAATGGATTTCCCCCTCTTTTCCCCTTTAAAAACAATCAGAGGATGTGGGAAGATGTTAGTCATTAATATAATACTATTGTTTAGGGCAAAAATGAGTGAACTTAAGGCAGAGAATGGTTTAAAGTAGAACATGTGGTTTTGGCCGTCTGCATTTTACTATTCCTACTTTGTTAGGAAAACAGTGGTTTTAAAGGTAGGAGCACAGGTCTTGGAGGAGACGAAAAGGAACTCCATGTTACTGTATAACTTTCTGTAAAGCATTTAACTTCTCATACTTCACATCCCTGCAAAAAGGAGAATGATGGCTGCCTGACTTTGTAGGACACCTTACGTTCCTCAGAGAAAAAAACCCACAACATTTACCTTAGTACATTACAATAGTACTTCTCGTGTTCAAATTCCTTCACAACCTGTAATGGATACTCACAGTGGGTCTGTTGGACTGATTTTTACAGATGCTTATTCTAACTTTCAAATGAAAGGGAGTAGATCTATAGATTGTCCAAAGCCATTGTGGTGGCTCTAAGGTTTAGTCTGGTAAGCAGCCGTTTGGGCTTGGGTGGACGTCAGTTTTCTCCCACCACACCCAGGTACCTCCAGTGGCTGGTGGCGTTTGGGCCTCCACACAACCAGCAGCATCTTTTCCAGGCCCACACATTCTGCTGCTGGAAGTGCTTCCCAGCAAGGTGGCAGGAGCTGCAGCCATGCTGCATGGGGATGGGGAGAGGGAGCACTGAGAACGCCATGCTCCTCGTCCGGACCACCGCTCCTCTGCTGAAGCAGCAGCCGCCCACTTTTCTTTCCGAACGTGGTGACGACGAACGGACTTTGACAGACAGTTCAACGTTAAATGACTCTGAGAAACGTTTGTAGAATAACGCCCAGCAGACTCTGGGTAAGGCACAGCCCGTGACTGCCGGTGAAGGAGCTTTGGGGCTGTTCGTGTCCTAGTACCCA